ATTTTCACATCAAAATTATCTTAATAGTTTTAAACAAACAATAACTTGTTTATTACTTTGCAAAAATTATTTTTTTAATTTTGATTTTGATAATTATATGTGTTTGATTGAGCTTGAAAATGCCTAATTGTTTATGTAACCATTGATTACATTGATAAAATATTTTTTGATCAATCGATGACTAAAATATTGGATAAATTTAACTTATTTACAAATCAAAAAGATTAAAAAATCAAACTTTCAGCTTTTACAATTAGTATAATTAAATTCCGAAAAATTATACACGAAATTGATTCAACCAAAAAATAACGTCACAACCAAAGAATAAGTATTAATATTTTTTGAATGCAATAAATTTGGATAGAACTATGAATAATTGCTAAAAAATAGTTATTATTTTTAAAAATTAATATTTAATTTTTTGCAACTTTCATTTTGTACTGATTGAAAAAAGTTCAGAAAAATTTACGCTTATTACGTAAATCACGTACGTAAACTTTTTTTTTGTTTGCTAAAAATTTTTAAAATAAAACTTAGCATTTAATTTAATGCAAAAGTATATAAATTTGTGAAAGATGAAAAGTTTTCAAATTTTTTTTACTAAATTTTTATTTCAAAAATATTTACGTAATTTTAGGAACTTTAAACTAAAATGCTATTCAAACAGCTACTTCTATTTTTGGTATTTCCAATTATTCGTACATTTTTTTATACTGGCGGCTGCTGCATGAGAACAAGAACTTGTGGAATATTCCAACCTTTTTATGGCTTCACCATGCCTATGTTGGATGGTGGATACGGTATGGGATATGGTTTCCCTTATGGATACGGTAGAGGTATATTTTTTATTTTTTATTGCTCGTAGCTTTAATATTTTGTTTTATCATTTGTGGTAAATCATTCATTATTACGTGAAAATAAAATGAAAAATTGTAATTTATTTCAGGCTATGGGTACAGTTATCCATTTGGTTCTGAAATGCTTTCATACAGTGGTTAGTTTTTTATTGCGAACTGCATTATCTTCTCTTACGTGAAGTTACAGTACCTTTCATAATTGACTTTATAAAACAAAGCAAATTTTCAGGTTTCAATCCAATGGCTTACGATGGATTTTTTCCATTTAAATATGCAAATAAACGAAGAAAATTTTGACTTAATCAATCACGTAAAAATACGTAATTGTTCTATAGCGACGTGTTTCTTTTTTTACTTTAATAAGAAATTGTCCCATTTCTAATGAATGTTTTTGAATATACTATTAATTTTTATGCAAAAGAGAAGACAGAATTAAATGGAATTCAAACAATTGCGTTACCATTTTCCGTACGAAAAAGTACCACAGAAAATGGTTCCACAGTAAAATACAAAAAGGAATTTGGTATATGAGTGATATAGCAACCAAAACTGTTACCAACAATACATTGCCATCCTTTACCGTAAATACTGTCAAATTTTTTTTTCAGATTTTCAGCAACTTTTTGTAAGTTAAAATTTTTTTCTTCCAGTTGTTGTAGTACCAATTTTTGTGCAAAATTCGCTTTAATTTGAGGCATTTCAACTGTCTATAAATGAATATATTTTTTGCCTCTCATTTTGAAATATTGAAAAAAAAATGCAAAATATGCAAATGAAATAAACGTATTACTTACGTGTAATAAAACGGCAAATAATATTACGTATATTTAAAAAGTAATAATTTTTGTTTGTATATTATAGATAAAGAAATTTACAACAAAAAATATTGACATGTACTGAATTTCTTGTCTATAGTGATACAGTAATAAGTAATCATGCTTAATCAGTTAGACTATTTAGGGCAGTTAGTTGATACTGCCAGTAGGTTAATATTTGAATTCTAGAACTACAGTATTTCTTTAAAATTTGTATAACAAATAGTTATTCAAAATAACCAATGGCTGCTACATAAACTTTTGTGTTTTTTAAAACTGAAATGAAACTTTTAATTTAAAAAAAACTATAAAATAGCTTTTAAAATAAATTTAATGAGTAATGAATTTGTAGTGCAATTATAGGAAGTCTACAGTATGCATATTACACTAAAGTAAGCGTCTTTGAACACAATAGAATTAAAGAAAATTTACGTGATTCATTTCTTCTAATTGCTTGACTCCCACGGAATCTGACCACTTACAGAAGTGAAAATTGTACAAAATGAAAATACTTCAGAAGTAAATTATTCTTTCATTTGAAAAGTTCGATTTTATTTGCATAAATGCAATTAATATGCGATTTTGTATTTTGCGCACCTAACCAAGATTTTTTCACGTGCAATTTATTTTTAGTTGCAGATTACTCATGAAAATAAGCATCAATCATAAGCTAAATAAAAGTGTGCAGTTTACAAGCATTAAAGCAATATACTACAACGTATCAAATCACGTATGTTAGCAATACACTTTACAGGAATTACGTGTACTTGTATAATGTCTAAAATTAGCACTGGAATCAGACAATAAAAGGCAGTTATTTGAAAAGTCAACAAGCATTAAATTAATAATGGCAGTAACAGTACTCTTAATATGCATAAAATTAAGGCATAACCAGTAGATAATGCAAATAAGTATTCTATTACAAAAATTATATTCAAAAATTTGCATAAATCTGTAATCAAAAATTGTGCTCTCAACTTTTATATTCAAAAATAATTTTTAAATAATAATTCACAAATAACAAATTAAAGGAGAAAAATAGAATCGCATGACTACTGTAATTATTGTACTTTGAAAAAATAAAAATAAAAATGTTTTAATCTCAAAAAATGTTTTAAAAGGTAGATTGTCTGCAAATACAAAAAAATTTTAGCAAAAATTTTAATCGCATATTAGCATTTTTATCAAATTTCAAGCAAAAAACTCTATAGATGAAAAATTTGAATGCAGTTTTGAGCTCTTATTAAATATTGTAATTAGGGTCATCATCACCCGCATAGTACAAGTGTTCAATTCCACGTACGCTACGTGGGTTATCTCCTTGCCAGAAAACAACTTCTTCAGAATCTTCATATTCATCTTCAATTTTCTCTTGTTGTTGATTTTTATTATGACGATTTCCATTTGCATTTGGCATTATTTTGAGTTTTGTTGTTTCAGTTGTAATCATCCCAGAATTTCCTGTATTAATGCTTTTTCAACAAAGTATACACAATAACAATAACAATATAATAAAATTGAATATAATTGAATTTTCGTCCACATATTGTGTATCGCTTTACAAAATTAAATGCATTTTAATATGATCAACGAATGAAAAATGAAAAGTAAGAAGTTTAAAATAGTTGTAATCAAGCAATTTTTGTAATTTGGAAAATAAAGATTTAGCAAGTTTGTAGCTACAATAATCAACAATAATTTGCTAGAAGAATAGTATTATAAAACGTATCATCAAGCATACCCCATACCTTCCTCAAATTGTTGATCATCCGGATAATGATCGTTTTCTTCATAATCCTCAATAGTGATAACATGTTTTTGCTGATCTGCTGATTTTGCTGATAACGGATTAGCACTAACTGTTTCAGCGTGATGAACACCAAAATGGTCAGGAACTTGATCTGCAGAAAGTACCATTCCTGCAGGCAAATGTTCTGATTTTAATTTCTTGTGCTGCTGCTCAAGATTAGGAGATTTAATAGCTGAAAAATACAATTTTGTCATTTATCTCACGACTGTTATAGTAGTTATTATCATGATAATTTTTTTCTAATTAAACGAAATATCACTTTAAAAATATAAAATTTTCGAAATTATTCGTAAATAAGTAAATATAAAAAGTTTAATTTTTTTTAAATATAAATGCGTCATCCCAAAGTTAAAATAAAGCTTGGAAGCTATTTTAATAATTTTAGCAAAAAACTAACCTGACTGATTATTAAATTTGTTTACTTGTTCAGACGGTGCAGTGGTAGTAGTACCATTGAAATGATTAATTTGTTGTTGAGGATTTACTGAAGAAGTCCGATGGTGCAAAGAATGTTGCTGCAATGCTTGAATTTGCTTACTTCTGGCATCTAAACTGATATGACCTCTTGAATTCATATTTTGTTGAGTCCATTTTTGAGATTGTACTGGTTGCTTGAGTACTGTTGAAATAGGCTGTGTTGGAGGTCTTGGTACTGTAGTAACAGGTCTTGAAGTGGTTCTCATTAATTTGCGCATTTTTTCTAATTGCTTCAATTTTTCAAAATTTTTTAATTTCCGGCGTCTTAATTTTTCTCGTTTTATTTCATCTGGTCTGCGATTATTTATTGTTTCTGCTGTTGTTGAAACTTGTGCATATTCTAGGTTACGATATGAGTCACGTTCAGTTTGACGTGATGTTTGTCGTTGTTCTGCTTGTTTACGTGTGTGCTCCACCGGTACTCCATTTTGTGCAGCATAAATTGCTTGTTGATAACGATACAAATCTTGTTGATATTTTATAGCTCGGTCATATTCTTCACGTCTACGTTGATATAGTAATCTTTCACGTTCACGCAAAGCTTCTTCGTGTGCGTGCTGATCTGCTCGTTGCTGTCGTATAAAAGAATCACGTGATTGAGGTGTTTGTAAACCGTACTGAACTTGATCATACTGTCTTGCATGCAATGCTTCCTGTGGTCTTCCATAACTTGCTTGTCTATTCATTTGTGCATAACCCTGCACATGATTAGAAGGCATTGTATTCAAATTTACGTATGTTCCTGGTTGCTGGCTTTGTAATCTTAGGTCACGTTCTGGTTGATACGATGTTGCTTGGTATACGTGTTGTTGACTTACTTGACTTGGGGATCTCTGCCACTGCTGTGGTGAACCATACTGTTCTGCGTGCTGATAATATTGTTGAGTAGTTTGTTTTTGCGCGTATGATGGTTGCTAAAATTCTAACTTTAAAAAGTTTAAAATGAATTTCAAAAAATATATTTTGTTCTTTTTTGATCAACTCGATGAACAGAATAGAAATTGAAAATATTAATGTTTAATATTTTGATAATTAATTTACTTCAAATATTAATTTATCATTAATTAACTAATTAATTAATTAAATTATAATTAATTTTCTTCATTTAAATTATTTAAATAGAATTCATTTCAAAGCATAAACTTTTTATTATATTTAATAAAATAATTATTATTAATCGTTTACAAGCATTACAAACAATATAACATTTCCAGAAAATTGTATGATGGTTCTAAAAATATCAGCCGACCCTTTGCATGATTTATTTTAAATTATTAAAAATATTCAACGAGCTCATAATTCTAGGCTAAGTGTAGTATTGCAATTTACCCTTCGAACTGATGATCTACCGTACTGCATTTGTGGCCGTTGATAGCTATTTCGTGTAGAACTTGCAAACAAATTACGGTACTGTTGTCTTTCAGCTATTCTACTTTGCTAAAATTGAAAATAATAACCAATTTGTGATAACTTTTAGTATATTCGTTTCCTATCAATAAGTCTTTATCAAAAGCTGTTTAAATTCTACAAAATTTTCGAAGTTTAAGTTTTTTAACAATATAATTTTTCAGTTCCATGCTTTTTATTACTGAATAAAGTAGAAACAGAATACTGTATTATTTTAATGTAATTTTGTATTGAGCATAATTAACTTAAACTATAATTATTATAAAAATTTGCAAACGTTTCTCATTTATATTTGGGAAATTGATTATTTAGAGGGTGGGAAAAAACTTGCGTGAAGTGACGTAAATTACGTGAAACACCTGAGTATTCTGTGGTTCTTTAATATATCTACGAATAGCTAATTTTGTTTCTGAAGTAGAGCTATTTGCAAAGATTCCACAAATTGACATACAATGTGCATATGAATAAAACATATTTGCATTTCCACCACAACCTGACCACCAACTGAAATTTTTGTTATGCAAATCTTTTACAGTTTTTCAACTAAAAATTTAAGTTTTAAATGAAGTATTCAATTAATATTTTTGACATTTCTTAGAATTTTTTAAATTATTAAAATCAACTTAATGATATTAT